GCGATTGTGGCGCTAGGACACGGCCGCCTCCGTACTGCGGGAGGGGATTACCTGGACATCGGCGGCAGCACGGGCGGTGGGTCTCGGCGCATCATCGACTCTTGGCAGCCGCCGGATTGGCGCGACTTCCTGCAAGACGAGCGGGAGAGGTGAGGTTTCCAAGCCCGTGTGCCCGCGGTGCTTCTCAGCCTGCGGTGCTTTTCGCTAGACTCTTTCTGCGGTGCTTTTCTGCGAGTAGTAGGACTCTTTTCAGCCTGCGGGTTTCTGCGAGTCTCAGCCTGCGAGTTTTCAGCCTCCAGGTTTCGCAGGCTCTCCGCTTCGCACGCCGCTCCTCAGTTCCAAGACGTCTGCCAAAGTGCAGGCTTTTGCAGGCTGCCGCTTTTGCAGCCTGCCACCACAGCTCAGCGTGCCGCTTTTGCAGACTTCCAAGACGTCTGCCAAAGTGCATGCTTTTGCAGGCTGCCGCTTTTGCAGCCTGCAACCACAGCTCAGCCTGCCGCTTTTGCAGGCTTCCAAGACGTCTGCCAAAGTGCAGGCTTTTGCAGGCTGCCGCTTTTGCAGCCTGCCACCAGAGCTCAGCGTGCCGCTTTTGCAGACTTCCAAGACGTCTGCCAAAGTGCATGCTTTTGCATGCTTTTGCATGGACTCGCCCAGCACACCAGTAGAGACTCAGGTCTTACGAGTCCCTGCACATAATACTTTGTACACAATGTAGTCCTGCGAGTCCTACTGTCCTGCGAGTCTGTGATACAACTGTGTAGTGTCAAGCTCTGTGCGTTGATAGCAGTGCGTGCGTTGATAGCAGTGTCTTGTTTGACCATACATCTATTCAAGTTCCGTGTGTTGATAGCAGTGTCTCGTGAGGACGTACACCCATTCAAGCATCCGTGCGTTGATACCAGTGTCTCGTTTGGACATGCATCCATTCGAGCTCCGTGCGTTGATAGCAGTGTTTCATTTGGAGGCACATCCATTCAAGCTTTGTGCGTTGATAGCAGTGTCTCGTTTGGACATACACCCATTCGAGCTCCGTGCGATGATAGCAGTGTCTCGCTTGGACATACATCCATTCAAGTTCCGTGCGTTGATAGCAGTGTCTCGTTTGGACATACACCCCTCCAGCTATCCTTCTACATATCGATGTTAGGTTGCTTTGCCGGGATAATTTTAAAAAAGGATTTAAATACATACAGGACTAGAACCACGCGCGCGCTTCGCGCGCGCTTAGGTTCTGTCGAGTCACAGACCCAGGAATCGTTGTGAGAAGAAATTGGTGACGCGAAGCGTCGTGGGGGCGTCCTTGGACGTCTGGGGTCTCCTGGGGCCTCTTGAGGGGCCTCCTGGGGGCCTCCTGGCGGCCTCTTGGGCGGAAGGCTCGAGCTTGCGGTTCGTGGTCCCCCTCTGGGCCCCCTCTTGGGCACGTCTTGGGGCCCTCTTGGGCCATCTTGGGCGCCTCTTGGGCCGTCTTGGGGCCCTCTTGGGCTGTCCTGGGGCCCTCTTGGAAGCTTCTTGGGCCGTCTTGGGGCGGTCTTGGGCGCCTCTTGGGCCGTCCTGTAACGTCGGAAAGCCCAAAAGGCGACTTTGTGAAAATGTACGTTTTACGAAGGGAATGGGTCAATTTTTGCGTCTAGGGGCCCTCTTGGGACGCATGTTGGAGGCTTCTTGGGGCGTCTTGGGGGCGTCCTTGGACGTCTGGGGTCTCCTGGGGCCTCTTGAGGGGCCTCCTGGGGGCCTCCTGGCGGCCTCTTGGGGCGGAAGGCTCGAGCTTGCGGTTCGTGGTCCCCCTCTGGGCCCCCTCTTGGGCCCGTCTTGGGGCCCTCTTGGGCCATCTTGGGCGCCTCTTGGGCCGTCTTGGGGCCCTCTTGGGCTGTCCTGGGGCCCTCTGGAAGCTTCTTGGGCCGTCTTGGGGCGGTCTTGGGCGCCTCTTGGGCCGTCCTGTAACGTCGGAAAGCCCAAAAGAGAACTTTGTTGAAAATGTACGTTTTACGAAGGGAATGGGCCAATTTTTGCGTCTAGGGGCCCTCTTGGGACGCATGTTGGAGGCTTCTTGGGGCCTCTTGGGGGCGTCCTTGGACGTCTGGAGGCCATCTTCAGCATCTCGGAGCCCTCTTGGAGGCCTCTTGGAAGTTTCTTGGGCCGTCTTGAGCGCTCCTGGGGTCGTCTTGTCTGACCGGGGAGGCCTCCGGCAAGCCCCGACGAGCCTCCGGGCCCCCCGGAGCCCACATTTGCGGTCGAGGTCCCGGCCCCGGGCCCCCGGACCCGGTGCGCCGTTATATGTATATTTTTAAATAAAGGATTAAAAAAGGATTTAAAAAAGAATGAATGTATGCATGAACTCATCGTTGTTTTCCATACCAAATCCCTGCATCTTTGATACAGGATCCGCACGCGGAGCATGTGTTAAAAACGGCACTGTAGGCTCGTGGCGCTCTCGCTTCTCCGAGCGCCCTGGGCCGCCCTCCCGCCGAGGCGCCGCCGAGCCCCGCCGCCCGCGCAGGGC